CGTATAACCTCTTAGCAATTTCTTTTGATTTATAACCTTCTTCATAATAATAGATAATACGCCATTTTAAATCTTCACTCAACATTTTACTGTAATATATTGTAAAATATATAATTAGATACAAATTTTATAATAATAAATTTTATAAAAGACTATTTTGAAACCTTTATTATGTAAAAATCTGAGAAAAAAGTAAAGATCACGAAAAATCACTTTTTTTAGATTGTAAAATCGCTAAGATTTCTGACAAATATGCTTACAATACCTTTGAAACTTCTATGCAAGTAAATTTCAAGTATATTTATTTGAAATAGAAAATAAAATCGCAGTGTTGAATAGTAAATTATAATAGTTGTTTTTGACGTGAAAATAAAATATCGCAAAAATCAGCTTTTTTGGTAGTACAAGTCCCGTGATGCTGATCAAAACGGCGATAATAACCGTTAACATTCAAAATCGCGAGTTGCTAATTGCCTTTTACTGGTCTTTCACTACTCAAACTCATTGGTTTTAGACTGTTTGACGCGTATTTTAATATGTTATTTTTTTTTTTCAGGGTGCGTTCGGTACGTTCGCTAAATTTGATTTTTTTTACTAATTGTGATAGTGTAATGTTGATCAAAATTACTATATAAATGTAGGCCCAATTTTTATTATTAGCCGAAATGCATTTTATATACATTGTAGCTTGCAATAAATTTATTTATGCTTCATCTAGCGTGATAATGTATAATTGTAATGCCAACGAAATGAAGTGAACAATCACCAATAGTTGATTCAAATTTTCTCTATACATTCAGATGTTTATAGTTGTAAAATTTTTTTTAATCTTGCTTCTTCCTTGTGCAATTTTGTTGATTTATTATCCACAATCTCACTTAGGCCAAAATCAATAAAAAAGTAATGGCTACTTTTTGGCTCATATAGTATATTTCTTGGGGAAATATCGTTGTGTAAGACGCCAAGATTATGTATTGATCTAAGTTGATTGACTATTAACTCTTTCTCCTTTTTTGTGAGTCTTGTCAGATCAATATGGCGGGAGTCCTCAATTAACTGTAACGCTAATGCAAAAAGATATCCAAGATATCCGTCATAAATGTAACCTTTATAGAATAAACGTGGAACATCATGACCTAATATCAATATAGCAATAGACAAGTTAATAAATATCTAAAAATATTATGAATGAAAAAAAATTGTACCTTGACATTCTTTCAAAATAGAATATATACAAGCTTCATGATTTAGCGTTTTCATCTCATCTTGTTGCTTATATGCGTCACAAGTCTTCCATGCTACAACTTAATTATTATAATGCCCAGAAAAAACTTTTCTGAAGGACCCGCCACCTATGTACTCGTCTACAGTAGTAATTCCAGTTGCAACTGATTTACTACTGCTCTCTGATGCTCTCTTCCTCTTTCTTCCTGAAGAAACATAATAATAATAATCATCATCATCAGAGGATTCAGAGTCATCAGGGTAGTAAGGGTCAACATTATCAGTCACTACATGTCTTAATCTATTGCCAACATTATCATTAATGACTAGTTGGCTAATATAGTAAACGCATTCGCGTAAAGTTGGATCAGTATCAGTGGATTGAACAACACGAGTAACATACAGGGTGGTTGGAGATGTTTCATCTCATTTAAGAAAGTTAGTAAATGCCATAATGGAGGCCATTACAGGCCATTTGACCAAATATCTGCGATAGGATCCTTAAATGATAACCAATTAAGTTAAGATTGTGACGCGTTTTATATTCCACAGGCATCTTGGCCACTGTGAAATTATTAGTGCTTAGAACATGATCAGAAGAGCCCACAAATCTGGGGGTTGTAACTCCAAAAAATGCTCCTGGTGGTAATAATACTTGGACAGGCGCTAAAACATTCAAATAAAAATGATCTTTTACATCTCCTTCAAGTCTGAGAGGGACATTTATAGCTGGATATGTATCAAATTGTCCTCCCGGAGGGGGAAATTGTCCACCAGCAGTAGTAAGTTTGACATTTCGCTTGAATCTGATCCATTCTCTCACTATTTCTGGAAACCGTTGGTAAGCAGCTATTGTTGAAGTTGAATTAGAATTTCGTGGGATCCATTGGCAATCTAGAACGGCGTGACCTAGTATTTGACCTGCTGTTTGAATTATAATAGAAGACTATTAGGAAAGCAAGAAGAAAACTATTGTCCTTATATACATTAATAATTAACTTCTTGATTCAAATTCTGAATCAGTTTTATTTGATACAATTATGACACTGTGCCCCAAAAAGGTCAGTTCTACAATCTGCAAAAATAAAATCATGAAAATCATTCCTTATATATATTTCCTGGTAGAAAGGTATTACCTTTTTTGAAAAAAATGCGTACTGCTTATAGTAAATTTTTTTGGCCACCAGTATTTATATTTCGTTTGCGCAGACGATTATCTATATGGTATAAACTTCGCTTTGTACATACAATTTATGTGTGATGTGTATCTGAGAAATATTTTTTGTGTAATTCCAGGAATAAAATTATATAGATGATTTGGAATGACTGTATATGGGTCATTGAAATACCTTAAGGCAATTCTCTTCGCATAATTCTTTCTTGAGTTGATCCTGTGCTTGATAAAATTATTTGAAAAGAATTCTATATAATTTTCATGCTGTTCTCCTTGCACTTCGATTGCAAAACCATATTCTGGATGAATATATCAAGTAACTCTTGAGAGTATTTAGGTGTTTTTAAGAAATCTGGCCAGCAATTTTTCTGAGTAGTTAGTTACTATTTTACGTCCAACACATATGGGGCACCATGAATATCAATTTTTTACATTTTCAAGTGTTGCATTTCATTCATAATCTCTTGCACATTTCCATCTCAAATGAGGTGAACCATTAATATATTTATTTGAAATACAGTCTCCACCTTTATTAATTGCAACCATCTTAGCAATATTGAGAGTATTCTTAGGCAATATGGACACCATAACCTTTTATTTTTTATGCTATCAAATGATGCAGTCCATCTATGTTCTTTAGTACATTTCCATAGCATAGGTAAATAATTATTAGTATATTTATATATCTGGAATACACATCTCTCCTCATTGTCTGACAATTTCTTTTTTTTTTATTTAATATTAACCTTTTTGGCATTTTGCAAATTTTTTTTAAGACCTTTCAATACTTCAAATATGGTTATACATCATTTAGGCAAGAAGTATCCAAGTTATACTATGTTGACCATGAGTTAAAAGATGATTGTAGACCTAGTATTCATAAAAATCAAATGGCTATCTGCTTCAAATAAGTCTGAAGATTTGATGAAGACTCATTGGATAGAGTCATAGAAGTACAATTTGAATCCTATCAATCCAGAATCATCCGTAAAAATGCAGATTACAGATTGATCAGATTATCCATTGGATTAACCAGATGGTTCATTAGATATCTAGTGAATCTGATGAATGAATTGAATGGATGGGTCAGATATTTATGGCAAGTCAAATCAGACAAAAGTCTGTCAATGCACAAATAAATTATTACAGTTATTTCTTTTCATTTTTGGGATCATCTAAAGTGAAGTCAAATCACATGATCTGAAACAGGTCACGTGACACAACCAATATCATGATTGGTCCATATTAAAAATATAATTTAATAAAATAATGATAAATTTAACAGTTAATAAATTTAATTTTTAATGATAAATTTAATAAATTTTAAGTAAATTAAGTGATAAATTTGATAAATTTGGGAGTTTTTATTTTGACTTTTTTTAAAAAAAATGAATTTGCTGTAAAACGAAAAAAAAAATATATTCATAATGAATAAAATTTCATTATTATAACTGAAGAATTAAATTTTTTTAATTTGATTTATCAAAATTTGAGATAATCGGATTTAGAGAAATTTTAAGCATAGAGATAAAAGCATCTGTTTTCTCAACATCCTCAACTCTTTAATACGCCAATATTTATTACAAATTTTTTTAGTTAATTCCACCACAGTAAGCCTTCTGTCTTCAGCTTCTTTAGCTATTTTGTTTGTACAAATTCTATTATTGATTCACGTCTCTCATATATTTCATAGTCATATTCTTTAGAGAAAATGGTATTAAATGTATTAATTTAAAATAATTTAAAAATTTATTTGTTTAATTTACAAAAACAAATAGTACAATTGAGATATTAAAAAAAACAATTCACTTCTGTTATAGTGTAAGATAAAAATATAAATAAATTATGTATCAAAAACTATAAAGTAATTATTATTTATTAACAAAATATTATAAAAAGTATATTAATAAACATTAAAACTTTCACAAGTTTTGAACTTCTAAAAATTTTTTTAATTTATTACACAAAAAAATTATATAAATCTGATGGCTATTACCCAGATGATTATTTGTTAATATTCAGATAATTATCTGTTAATTTACAGATAAATTATCTGTTGAAGTTCAAATAATAAAAAATGAGAAAATTCAAAAAAAAACATCTGTAAAAATTTTTGAAAAGTTTTTGCAGATAATAAATAGATAATAAATGCATCACAGTTTATCTGTGAAAAATCACCAAAATTAGGAAAAATAACTGTAATAATTTATCTGTGTATTGACAGACTTTTATCTAAAATGGCGTGCCATATAAATATTTGATGAATCTAATGAACGGATTAAACAGATAGATCATCCTGTGAAATGTTAATTAAATTTTTTATTAATATTGTGTTAAAGGCCAGATTTTAAGGTAATTGAGAAATGGACTTTAAAGTATGTGAACTGAAAGAGTCTTTTCCTAATATTTCTCCTTTTTTTAGGATGAACTAAATTTGTTTTTGAGGTATAAATATGGAACAAATTTTATTTAACTTTTTTTAAAAGACATTTACTAATTCACTAATACAGTATTTTTTTTCTATTTTATAGGCGCTAGACTTGAATGAACTGGATTTTAAGGTAATACAAAAAGGAAAAGGTCTTTTTTTTAATTATTTAATATTTTTAGAAACACTTTCTAATGCTTTTTCTTTCTTTCAAAACAGACTAACAGACATGAATGAACCAAATTTTCAGCTTTAAGGTAATATTAAAGTAATGTGAATAAAGGATATTGTTTTTATTTAACTTTCTATAAGAACTTTTTATTAATAATTATTTTTTATTTTATAGGTGTCAGAACTGGATTTTGAAAAGGTGAAGACCATCTTTACAGAAACTTTAAGTTTTCAAGCAATATCCTTTTGATATCAAAATGATATCAAAACAATACCGTTAAGATAAATTTAACAATATTGATTCTATATTGATTAAAAATGTTAAGTTTCTGTAATTTTAGAATGCCAGATCTGTATAAACCAGACTTTGAGGTAATGTGAAAGGGGATCTTATTTTTTATTAACTTTCTTAACATTGGAAAATTTTTTGGGATGCAGAACTGCGGAAATCTGTAAAATTAGCAGATCTCCACTTTTTTTTTGTCATTTTTTGTGTATTTCTGCGAAGTTCGGCAAACTTTGCAACTTCGCAGATAATTGAATATTTTTATCTATAAAATCAGCAAAATTCTGCAATTTTGCAGAATTTCATTTAACAGAAAATTTAAAACATGCCAGTTTTGCAAAGCTTTGCGAAATAGCAGATCTTCACTTTTTGTCCTTTTTTTTGCAAAACTCTGCAAAATTCTTTAACTCAAAATTGCGGGTTTATAATTGCATTTAAACTTTGAGTAACTAACTAATTAAACTTTTCGATTTCAATTAGTAATTAAGCTTAATTAAGCTTTTCGATCATTTCCGTTGACAATTTATTTTCGCTAAAGTTTTTAATAGTTTTTTTTTAATACTTTCGTTAAAGTTTTTCAACAAATTTACAAATTTTATTTTTTAAACTTTCTGACTTTACTTTCGTTAAAGTTTTCCAGTAATTTTTAAAACATGTATTTATTTAACAAATAACGATTTACTTTGCCAAACCTTGGAACTATATGAACTTCTTGGTTAATTGAACCGATTGGTATTGTGTTGTATTCTTTGGTGTAATACAACTGCGGACACCCGTACAGTTCAGGTTCCTCTGTAATAA